TCACCTTATTGTAATAACTTGCAAATCGTTATTGTGAAGTAGAGCGAAAAATCAGTGCTTCAACGTGAGTGATACTGCTTCATCTTTTTCAAAGAACTTGATAATCTCCAGGAGAATACTTTGCATCTATATGGATATTACAGACTGGGATGGGGTGAATAGCAGTTGGAAAGTAATTGTAATAAGATGGAAAGGCCCAATCACTTGGTACTGGCTATCAACGGATTGTCCGATGAATAATTACATTTATCTGCAGGTGTGTCAATAATGCAAGATATACATTCACACTTCATGAATAATTAGATACACAAAGGTAGAAAGCCTACAGGTCGACATTTAGTCTTTCAGGAATTTTAGTCAAGCATTAAATAATCCGCATACTCAACACTTATTTCCACCATTTTGTTTGTTTCAGTTCACATGATTGAAATTCAGACTTACAAAGATCCCCATAATGTCGAAGAAACAATAAAACCTGGTGAGTAATTTTATCGAGATCTCTACATGACTTCATATGAATAACAATGAATGAATCATTCTCACATTGAGTCCTAAGAAAAAGATGTTGACAGCAAAGACAATTTTTCATCGACGATTCATTTTCTCAAGCTGTACAATCCTAATTATATTTAACAAAGAAATCATAAGACCAATGGGATACTGGTAAAATTTGTCTCCTTCTAGGTTGCACCTTGCATTACGTATTACTTTTATTCGAGCACACATTTTACCAGTTTCTGGTCGGTCCTATGATTTCCTTGTTAGGTACAATTACAGCTTATGAAAAGAATCGTGGAAAAGAAAACTTTCCCAGCCTTTTACCTCTTTTTCAAATTATGTCAGGCATGAAAATATATGGTCAGGTCATTTTTTGATCAATGGTTTATGTTATATTTCGGGCATTCTTATGAATCAAAAGATGCACACTTGTGATCCTTTGGAGGATGACTGAGTATACCGTTTGTTCGTTACCTTGTGATGAAGATGAACAATGCTGACTGATTCTAATGGTTGAAATAACGTCTGTCTAGAGTGTGGCACGAAACCTTATGTATCGACAGGGACCCAACCACTTTCCAACCCTTACTGCTGCGCCAACTGCTCTACCTGTAAGGTGATTTGAAGCACATGACTGAAACGCATGATCCTATTTGTGGGTGTATTATAAGATGAGAGGTCTAGTATTGTCTGCTGCTCTCTAAGCCACTCTTAGATTACTTTGCACATTATTATTATTGTTACTATTATTGTTAGTCTCCTGAGTACAGAGTGGAAAAAAAGACCTCAACTGCACTTCGCCATACCATCCACCTCTCCGTAGTATTTTGTGGCTGACTCTGAAACCGCCCACTTAACTTCTATTTTCTGCCTACATAATCTTGACCGTGCCTCTGCCATACCAACGCTAATGTCCTCATGTCCCATTCACGTTCCACTCAACGGACTGGCGTGTGATATCATTCAACGGTCTCTTTAACGCATGTACTATCTACCTGTGTTTCACTTGACATATTTGTTTGGCAGTAGGTTCATGATTGGGTTGTCTCCAGACTTTCATGATGCTAATATTTTCTGGCCTCCTTTTCTTTAGTAGTAGGGCATCAAAGTGAGCTGTTGAGGAATGTCTGCAGCTGCCTTTTTTAAATGCTTTGTCAACACGATAAGCCTCTGAATCATGCAGAAGCATTGGCTTGACTGCACAGCGTGAAGACCCACGTCTCCTTCCTTATTCTCGGTGGAGTAGACTCGCCAATTGATTTGAAGGCAGTGAGATCCTGTTTTGCTCTCCAAATATCAGCTGACTGCAAGGTCTTCACCCTCGCCACCACGTGTAGTTGAAATGATGCTGCCCGGATAAGTGAAGGAAGTGACTTACTTCACATTCCCGCCGTTACCGTTGATTGGCAGATGAGTTGTGCTCATCACTTTTATTTTCTTTAAGGTCACCTGAAGAGGTGTTTGTCTCCATTTGCAGGTCATCGAGTTTAATTGGCACTTGACATAATCCGTCCGCAAAGTCAAAACCTGCTTCAATCTTCCTGTTGCAGCAACGTTTCGCCATTATCTTGCTGCTGACGGTCTGTTACACAACAGAATCGGCCAAGACCAGGAATACCATCAGTGAATAGCCTTATTGAGTTTTTCGTTGTGGATGTCTTTAAATTCACCATAATTATACAGCATTCCGTAGCTTGCAATGCTGTCAAAATTATTTTCAGAATCGATGAAGTTGAGGTAGACACCTAATTACAATACTGTGCTCTCTTCTATAATGAAGCAAAGCGTTGAGACTTGATCTGTACATGAATCGCCTTTTCTTAATGCAGCTTGTTACTGTGGGAGTTTTGCATTCATAGCACCATTCATTCCATCAAGGATGGCACTAACTAATATTTGCTTGGATTGGGCAGAAGCATGATTCTAGGCCAGTTCTCGCAGACACATATGTCGTCATTCATTGATAGTTAGACAAGATAGAATGTCCTTCTGACCACCAAGTAACCTTCTTTCAACCAAAACTCCATGCGTCCGTGGCGTGAGTTAATCCGATGGGGTGACTGATGAATTCCGTCTGGTTATTTTGCTTTGCCGGCTTCCAGTAACATTTTGGTTTTCGATACATCTCACTTTGTTAGAATATTGGCGTTCATTTGGAGTACTGTGCCTGCTGTGGATGACATTTCTGAACGATTTGCAGTTGATGGTGTGTTCGACAGTTTACGTCGTTTCTCCTCTTCTATGCCTTGCATGCCTTCACCATGCTTCATTGGTTTAATGTGTATTTGTTTCTTCTAGGACACCGACGTGTTAAATTCAAGTAGTATTCCGAAGTTTTCCTTCCATGAGACTTAATCTACTTCTATCTCTAATATGTCGTTTACGATCCTCTTCTCGTTTGTATGTCCAGTATTCTGAGTTATCATATTCCTGAGATTGAGACGAGGACTTTCTGATATCTGGTGTACAAAAGTGACAAAACATATGTCATTTTGTGTGTATTGTATTTCCACCTGCAGCCAACAACTGACTGAAGGTACAAAAGCATCCACCGTCCGCATATTTTTCACCCAAAACCTCTCCACCTACGACACGTTGCCTCCCTTTCTTGTTTGCTTCCAATTGTCGCATTCTGATGGTGCTAATTGATGTCATGCACATAACGGCTTGCAGTTGTGGATATGATTCCTCCTCCCTCTTGGTTCACCTCGCTTGCAGAAGCATAGCACCAAAGTCTGGTTTGTTTTAATTGTGTGTGTTGTGTGTTTGTGAGTGGATGAAGGCTAATTCGAATAAAAAACAACCCGTAAACAATTTCGATTGTCTTCGCTGGAGGAAAGTGGGACTGTGAAGTGTTACCATCATCTGCGAAGTGAAATCATTGTACATTTATTTCCTTTTATGAATTCGAATCTCGTGAGCAAGATAGTCATTGCAGAATAAAAATGGCACCATCACTTATTTTGTTGGCTCTGAGCTGTAAGCAGATGACGATAAGCCCAATAAATAAAAGATGGTAAAATTTTATTCTGTAAAAACTATTGTTCTTGCTTTATTCGAACTCATTGTACTCAGACAGTATTAGAAGAAAATACACAGTGGAGCATGTTTACGAAAATGCAGTCGAAACAAACTCATTGATGAACATTAACACAGTTTTATGCTTTATTTTAATAACAAAAGTTCAAATAAATCACTGCTGATTGAGTAAATAAAGTATTAGATTCATGAATAGAACTATATTTGAGTTGAAGTATCGTAAAATGGAAGTGCGTTTGTTTACAAAAATTCAGGTTCATTCCACTAAACCTCATGTATTCCAGAACCTACTTCTTCAGTAACCTAAGCAGTAGACAGCCTTTCCATCTTCAATTAGCTGATTCTCAAACACGCAAGACTTTCATCATCCAGTAGTTTTAAACGAATGATCGTAGGGACGAAACTTCAACTATTTGCAATTTTGTAGCCGAATATGCCTAGATAATGGAGTAAAAAACTAGATAGACTTAAGTGTGCTGCTGACTGCTGCTTTGACAGGAACCCACAACCAATAAATGTTGTTCTCAAAACTACTTCAACACGCAGGACCAGCGAAAAAATAGAAACATTTTTGTTAACTTGAGCAACAGAGACTAAGGAATTACAAAGATATACGGTAAATGGAAAGTGAGAAATATGGGCACGACATCATTCCGCTGGTCAAAATTCTCTCAACAAATAACTAGTGTCAACTAACATTATGGCATGCAATTATTTTGTGCTTTTTCACTTTAAACAGAAATCCTGAGACTTGAACGCTTATATCAAAGTAAATGGGCGAAGGAATTTCTCGAATGTATGTCCCGTCATTCACACATTCGATACTTTTATGTTCCTGAAATGATCTGTATGTTGAATTAAGGCGTGAATTTTCACTGAAGTTAAAAATGCTAGATTATTAGTTGAAATGAATTGCAGAGTCACTGGAGACGACCAAAGGAATTCAACCACCCCACAAACAAATAATTAAAAGTAGTATTCCGGAGAGTGACCTCGAGATGTCAGTAGCACAGAAAGTTCTCTCAACAAAATGGTCTGCAAACTTTTATGGAGAAACTTCAAATTGAGGAATGCATTTCACGTGCACATTTTGCAAAGTACTCCAGTACACATCTTTTCAATACGCATAACACTAAATACTGAATTAAGCATATATTGTGACAACATTGGGCCATCTTCAGAATGAATGCTGTTGATTCACCTTTCAATATCATTTTTAATGCAGAAGCAATATGTTCTGACGGATAAGTTATGTAATGCCTCGAATAAGTTGCCACGTTTAAAAACAAACAGCTTCTTTGTTTCGCTTGGCCTTGTTTGTATTCTCACATCTGACAAACCCTTAGTATGCATTTCATGTTTTCCTACCCTCCCCTTCTTGTTATGCTTCTGAGTACAAGTAAATAAGATCCCAAAAATTATCTCCCTTTTTACAGCAATCGGTGCGGAAGATAAGAACCTCATGAATCTTTATAATGGTAGGTTATTCCATCATGCATGAGACACACTCTTTTGGTATTTGAAAACAAAACCACCATGTTACTGTTCCTGGGATGAACGTCAGCTTGAAATCATTTGTTGTGATAGATGTCACCGGAGATAATCATATTTATTTTTTATTTGATAACTCTACCAAGTGAAGCCACTATCGCTAGGCTATACGAATGCAGTCTCATCCACTTATTGAAGTATTGTCCAATCGGTCGTAAACTCAATGAAGAGTGACGTGGTATTCAGTAGTGAAAAGATTTCCTCCATCATCCACTTTCTCTACAGTGTCCTCTTCAACATAAACTTGTTCAATGCATGCATGATACAGTGAAAGAGGATGCATCAGTGATAACATTCCGAACATAATTTATAATCCAGAGATATGTCAAGTTCATTTACATGGTTTGGAAACCTGATTATATAGTTCTATTTTTTTTGTCAAATGCTGAACGGTTGAATGAATCCATAGTTATTCAGTTGCATTAAAAAATTCCTACTGTTATTTGTTCTCTGTGTTTCTGAATGAACTATCGAGGTGCTCAATTCCAAAGGTGTCTTCAAATGGTTCAGTCCAGAACAACAACATAGGAATAATATAGGTGAAAGTAGACGGCTTTCTCTTAAATTCAAGTGATTAAATGAACTTTAGATTGTGTGTCATTCCTAATGTGGCATTATCATATGCTTGTTGAATGAGATGTATCAGAGTACCCAGCACTTAGCAGTGTTAGTAAGGGAAACAAGTTATTTATTGGTCGACACTGCGGAAAGTATTCGTAAATTTTATAAGGATGAGGAAACCAGTTGACAGCCACTCTGGGCTATGTCCGATGATGATTGGCAGTTGTGCAATCACACCCGCTCATGATCCCAGAGGCAACATTCATTAGTGATATCTGTTGGGACAGAATGACTTTCAGATTATTATGAAGATTTAATACTGTTAAAATTGTTATCTGTTTATAAATGAACTCAGTTCATACTTTCCTACTGTTGCAGTTTACAAATACACAGTGCAGATTTTTGGCTATTTGAGGGATTAATTTTTTACCGAAAAATGCTTCTTTTCTCTGTAGATGAATACAAGAAGGCATTGGAAGAAGATAAAGCTTTTAATTACAAAGTGCTTGGTATGACTGATTTTTCTTAACCAGCATTTATAATACTACTTAACCTGAAATTCATTACAGTTAATTATTGCTCCTTTGGGTCCCGAGTGAAACACAGGACTTCACCAACACATCTCGTCTACGCTTTACTTTCCGACGACTGCCCGGCGCACGATGTCATCCAACAGGCTTGTTATTATATGCCTTATCCATCTTTATTTCCTCCTACACGTCTGTTGAGCTATCAGCTCTTGATTGGCTTAAATAAAGCCAGTTTTTTGTTGTTAGTTCTTTCTGATTGACCATTTGATTTTCATTATGGAGCTAGAGAAAGCAGCTATGGCCTAATGTCTGCGACATGTTTAAAATATTTTTCGTTACACGTCAAGTTTCTGATCCGTATAGAAAGACCGATTTGGCATTGGTGTTGAAAATGCGAATCTTGTTCTTTATATGTTCAATGTGTTCTATATGAAGATCTCCAAACTGGTTTTAGGTTGACAAAAAGGGAATGTCGCCTTTCCGATTCTGACTGGCTCACTTTGACATCTTCATCCATTCCGTATGTGGTTGAAACGATGCTTCCTAGTCAGATAAGTGAAGGAGGTCACGACTGAAGATCTCCCCGTTTGATGGTGATTGGTGCTGATTGTTGTTGTTGCTACTATCCGTTGGTTATATTCATCACCTAGATTGTTTCTGTGTTCACCTGGAGTCTAGTCTTCTGACATGCCACTTCTGTAGTTTGTTTGTTTTTTCGACCGTAAATCTTAAAGATAGTGTGACATTATACATTTATCATCTAAGAAATCTACAGCTCATTGTGTCTTCTTATCGAAGGTTCAGCTTTTTATTGTCTTCTCACTCTTATTCAGAGTCCGACGCAAAATCCAGCGAACCGCAATTAGGAATTTTACTGGTGATAATAGGTAACCAGCTTTTCTTAATCCTGTATTCACTTCGAACGCCTCACTCAGTTTTCTGTTGTGGATCACATGACACGTGGCATTGTCATATAGCCAGCTGTTGATTAACGTTGATAAAGTTTTGGGCACGGCACACCGTAGTATTAAAGTAGTTTCCAAATTATTTCTCAGACAACGCCACACTGTCGAAGGTGATTTTAAGTCGATGTATGGAGTTGAAGTAGAGTTTTGACTGTCATTCTATGCTTTGTTCAATGACGATGTGTAGACGTGCGATTTGACCGGCAAATGATAAACCTTTCCTGAATCCGGCCTGAACCAGTGAATGTCGGAGTTCTGAATCCAATGCATCGTTTAATGCTTTGAAGATGATGTAACGTGGTAGTTCTACTTGGCGTGGACAACAGCATCAATCCATCTCAGATCTTGCAGAGGCCTTAGTCGTGCTGCTTTGGCAGTTTGACGAGGTGGCCTTTCTTTCAATCGGCAGGTGGTATTTCTTCCTTCCTAATCATTTGTAATAATGGCGTGAGAAATTCTGCTGCAGTGTCTGAGTCCATTTGCAGTGCTTCTGGGAGAGTTTAGTCCCGTACTGTTGCCTTCTCGGTTGCATTTCAGAAGCTGTATTGCATTCAGGACTTCTGCTTTTTTTGTAGTACTGGTGTCAACAAGTAGGCAGCTCTGTGCTTGTCGTCAGTGGTGGCGCTATTTCTGGATGAGTTGCAGGTGACACACCATTCAATAGTCCTTCAAAATGATCAGCTTATCATTTTGTTTGCTTCTCCTCCTTCGTAATCACTTTCCTTTGATCAGCTTTTATTGGGTTGATCTTTACCCAAATAGAAACCTGGTTACCATCTGATATAATGTTCTGCGGTATCTTCTAACTGCGCACTATTTATTCTGCTTCATTTGCAAGCCAGTGTGTCGAATAAATTGCCTTCTGTCTTTTCTTGCACTCTTTTACAATTTCTTATTCAGTGCAGCGTTTATTGAACACAAAGTCTCCTTCTGCTTTCCGTCTTTTTGCATTGAGTCAACTTCCTCTTCACCAACCCACTCTCCTCTCTTCGATAAGCTTCCAGGTAGATGTCCGTTGAGAGCCATTCTTTGTATTTTTTCTTCCTAATGCCTAGAACATTTGTACGTGTTTCCTTGACCACTGCTTTCCAATGCTCTTTCTCACAGGTTTCCCCACTGAATCTAGTAGTGTCTCAAATCTGTAGTTAGGGCATCCGTACTAGCTTTTTCCTTCAGTTTCTGAATTTTGAACTTGAATTAAAGTGGCCTGTCTCCGGTTATTCTGTGAGATTTTAGATTCATGTTGAAGTAAATGATTGTCTGAGCCCTCATCTGCTTCTTTTTCTCGAATTTGTATCCAACAAGCTGGCCGCGTATCCACTTCCTTCAGCAGTATTGAGATGAAGTTTATCTGGTTTGTGGTCCATCCGTCAGTCAAAATCCACATTGCTTTGTGTGTTTCCCCCGTCATTCACCATATCATTAAGAGCGCAGAGTACTGCGAATATTTTCCTGTTCTCATTCATTTCTCCGGTTAACAACATCTCGATCTATCATGAATTCTCTCCTATGTTAATCTCACTTCTGCAATAAACTATTTTAGGCAGAATCCCATAAGGATAAATCTGACCGCGTTCAAGATATTTCTTACCAAAGTAGACCACTCTCTTCTTTGTTCCTAATACTGCTTTGTTACTAAGATCCATTGTTATGAGAAATCACATTCCAGTGATATTCAGAAGATATGCGGGTTATTTGTTTATTGATAGATGACATTTTCGTATCAACTGATGATGGCCTTCACAGTCTGCATATGTGAAGTAATCTTGTGGCTTACTCTAACTCAGAAACCTGACCACATTCACACTGTGTTATGCATGGCTTAGGTGAATTCAATGGTCAGTACCTGATACTAAGATGAAACCTACTGGATGCCTTAAACTGGGTCACACTAAGACATCCAGATAGATTACCACTGTCATTATGTTCGAGGATCATTACGCAGCTCAATTAAACATCTGTTCACATCTGACAAAGCTTATGAGTAATAAGTATGCCATGTGAATTTATACTTATTCCTTCAGTTAATAAAGGACTATACAGGCGGTTGAAAATGCTGATTTCAAGAAAATGGGAAAATCGAAAAAATCTCGATATTGCAGAAGGTAAAAATTTTATGATTCCACTATTTAGAAAGGTAGTTGGTTATTTTATACTTTGAAAGAAAGTAATTCTTCTTCGGTAATTAGGTGGAGTGCGTGAAGCCACAAAAACTTCTCATTTTTACAGAAGACCTACCACAACACATCGGAACGGCGATATTTCGTCTTAAACATCACACTCATGAGTGTGAATTCTGACTAATCGAGCGAGAAATCGTGATAAATCACTTACTGATGGTTCTAAATTCAATCTTGCATGAATTAGTGGCGTTGCATGAGAAAACGACTTTCTGAAGGAGTGTTCTGCACTTTCTATTGATTGGTCTCACTGATTTATATTCACGATCGTGTGTATTTTAAGGCTTCTTGAATGTTCGCAATTTTCTCATCAGCACTGTTATTCACACTTGATAGAGAATGATGAGAATATTTTGCGGTGACGCGCTACGTAAATAACAGAAAGTAGTTTGTGCAATAAGCGACAGTAGGCAAACACCATCCATGTATTCACTTAGTCATATTTTGTCATTAGAATCAGTTGAAAACCGACTACTTTCCATCTGTATGTGAGTGACAATACACGTACTCGATGGTTTGATAGCATTTTCTAATTAGACTTTTTACTTGGTAAGTAAGTTAATTGTGGTGTCATTAGTACTGAAGTCAGCTGAACCCATCTTTAAATAAACTGATTATGATAATGCTGGATTCATCATATACCAGGAAGTTTGATGACCATCTTATGTATCAATTGCAGACACATTTTTTGGAGAGATATCAGGCATTTTGAAGAAAGACGAAGGTTAGTTTTTTCACTTTGAAATTCATCTTTCGTAACTTATTAACTGTGCAGTAATATCTGTCGTCATTTTGTGATTAGTAGTTAGTCTGGTCTAATTAATATACATATTAAGAATTCCACTGTAATGTGGTGATACTTATTCGTAACAAACCATGTCTGACTATCCTTTATGACAGTGAGATACACCAGCTAGTTGAATGACTGACTAAATTCTGTAGTTGTTTGAATATGTGGTTAGGCTGTATCTACGCACGCAAACACTATGTCAGCTCAAATTCATTTTGTATCAGCATATTCAATACTGACACATAAAACACCTCTATCACAATATCGAACTCTACATAGGTGGATTTCGATCGGAACTCTATTCACAGGAAGATCATCTTGATGAGTACTATTTGATCAAATTTATGACAATGAAAACTACTGTCCATCACTAAGTGTTTATTTTTGATTGAGTATCTTCAAATTACCATATTGCGTACACCTTATGTTCAAATGACTATTTGTACAGATCTTCCGTTTTGTTCCACTTCTCTCCTTTATATTGTATTTCTTCGTATTCTTATCACGTCTCTCATGTTTTAACAATACGCTGAACCATTTGCTTTCTTTGACATCAAATCTATCTCCCTGCTCTTTAATGTTCTTATGCCGATTAATAGCTCTTCATATTTTACTGATAAATTTTATCAGTAGAGCACGCCACTTCAGTCAATAACATGCAAACCCCCTAAAAATGTAGCATTTCCTTATAAATGCAACTTGTATTGTGAGAAACCATTGACGCGATTATTCATTCAATGATTTGACAAACTGTTGTATGAAAGTTAAATATTCTATGCAAACGATTATTGCTCTATAATGGACAAAGCCAAGTGAACATTGAAAATACACACAAATGCAGTGTGAATGCAGTTTACACCTAGTGAAAGCATTTGTTTTACTGATATCAGTAAACACCTTGAAATGTCATGTGGTAATTAGGACATTATCAATAGGATAACCATAAAATTGTGATAGTCAGAAGCCATTGCGTGAATACGATCACTTCACGTTGAAGAATACACAATGAAACATTTCATACGTTTCGATATTGTGAAATTATAGTACAAATTGAACTGACAAACAAGGACTTGATGGAAGCGAAAAAAGCAGTGAATGCATCCGAAGGTAAAAGGATTTTGTAAATTCATATTGCACACTACTTTCATGAATAATAAAATTTTATTATGAAAATTCATTAGCCATTTTGGAAACAGTTAGTTCTTAGGTGCCCTATTTACTCATCAATAACAGGTACATTAACTAGTTTTTATTAGATATCTTTTTCACCACCAGTACAATAACCTCTCAGAAATAATCGGAAGGCCAGTTTTTCCACCAGTTAAACGTCCCTCTTTTTCTGAGGAGTGAACTAAACTTTTGAAAGCTGATATATTCACTGTGTGGTGAGAAAGAACGTGTTGAGAAATAATCAAATTATCATGACACGTTTTCGGATCGTCAATATGTTGTATTCAGTATGATGATAAACATGCCAACTTAGTTTCTGGATTAACGTTTTAAACATCATTCAACACTTCTTGTTTTTTAGCTAAACTTAAATGGTTGGAAACAGCAGCAGTCACCGCAACTAATGCATACAGAAATAGTTCAAGTGAGTGAATATATATTCATCAATTTTATTAGTTAACTGAAAAGCACAATGAATCTATGGACAGGCCTAATACTATTCACCGTTGGATGATTTTAGTAATGATAATGTGTAATACTTAGGCGTGTTTAATTAACCGTCAGCACGCACATAATTTTCCACACTTGTTAAATAGTTTCCAGTCACCTGTAAGAATGACGTAAAACTAAGATTGACTTGCACTTTGATTTACATTGAAAGCAGACAGAAGAGTAAATCAAGAGTCTATCCTCTCAAAATATTGGTGTGATAATTATAGTGAAGATGACATTGACTGTAGAAGTGGAATTGAATGCACTGTCATAGAATATAATTCAATATCAGATCAGTTCTTTGAATATAACACAAAGTGTCATAGTATTAAAAACTGAATGATGTTTCTAGGGCAATTTATCTCGTATAATCGTATCATATTATTGTATAATCATTACTTAGCCTATTTGCGAAGATGGAATAAGGAAGCATCAACAAATGGTGAGTGAACAGTTTTTCCCCGCTTGAAATATTTCAAAGGTAAAATTTTATTGATCACTAAGCTCCATGAGACTCATCTTCGATTGAAGATAATGACATTTCTACAACAAGAAACTTCAGAACTCCACGTTTAACAGAGAATAGCATCATCATAATTGCATTAGAGCTACAAATGATGAAAATTTTGATCGTCAGCAAGCCATCGTCGAATAGAGGATGAACAAATACAAACAAAACTTTCCTTGACATTTTGAATTGGATGAGACTCGTTCTTGAAGGTCTCTAGTTTGAAGATCATCTGAAGTTAAAGTCAACAGACCAATCAGACGATAAGCTGATGTAGTAATTTACTCACTAATTGAAAATACAAAGCGCGCAAATTACTTACACATATCTCATTTCACATTGAATGTATTTATTTGAAGTACTTCCCTTCAATAATTTCAAATACGGATGCGACATTGAGTGTGATAACAAGTTATTATTCATTTCAGACTCAGTGAATGATGAGAAAATTACACAAGTTTATTGGAAAGCTCGTTTTGATTTTGCCGACGGCACAGGTAATTTTTTTGATTCTATCAGATTTCATATTTAATAGTTATAGTGATGACTGCACTTCTCAGGGAATTTCATTTTCGTAAAAGAGACCGAAGTAGTCTGTATGACTAGTGACGTGTATATTATCAAGTTGTCGTATTTCATAATTTCACATACGGCTACAGCATTGATAAAATTAGCCGTATTACTTGTCACACATATTGGAATTTGCAAACTGTTGGACAGTTAGTGAGGAACAGGTCTGAAATACCTTAGCACAAAAGCGTCGAATCTACTGCTCATGTGGTGTTATTTTCATATTATCGAAACACGCAAAACTATTCCGATAAAGCTTCAGTGACTTCATCAATGCATCATAAAATAAAACCACAAACGTTTATGACATATTTTGTGAAGTTCAGAATAACAGTTACATTAAAACTACTTGACATGATCGAGCATAATGATATTTCAGCTTTATTTCTTACTAATGCAACGTTGAAATGTAACATTGAAAATGCTTCTTACACATCACTGAAAATCTATTCACTGTTTTAGATGAACTACGTGACAAAATAAAACTATTGGAAATGAAAAGGATTGATTTTTTAAAATGTAAGTTGAAATACTGAAATGATTTAGAAATGGTTAGTTCATAACCTAGAAGATAGAATAAACTGGCTCCTGACTGAAATGAAGAAAGATGCCAAGCAGTGATAATGAAGTGAGTTTCTATTTAGATCCTCAGCGTATTCCTTGTTTCTGACCAACTGGACAGGTGAATATGAACTTGAAGATGGGTTTTGCTGTTAGCTGAAATCAGCTGTATGAATGCTTGAGGAATAAATAGCATTGGAATTTTACCCACTTTCATTTCTTGTTCACTCATCAGTTTGCTGGCATGGCATAACTCACCTTCTGGCTGACTGGTCACATGATCACAGTTGGCGGCTGTGCACAATATCACATCTGTAACACCTGTTGAGAGCGTCGTATATTCAAATGGTGCTTAAAATAGTCACTTTTCTGTGAGAGGAATTATAATTTGGAACCAACCAGATAATGTTCACACCTATTCTGTGTTTTAATTGTCACTGGAAGTACTGCCTTAAGACTAGTGTCATTGTTGGTTAGACAAAAAACTGTCAACAATAATCCTGCTATACAAGATACATGTCTATTCTCAACTCATTTGTACTTTGCTTCTGGTTTCATTTTATTTCAGCTGCGGGAAAGGGAATTCGATACCAAAGGAATTCAAGCGATTTTGATGAAGGGAATACATTGTTTGCTTATCTCTTTTTTGTTTAATTAAATATAATATTTTTTCTTAAGATCTCGTTCCAGTTGGCGTTTTCTGTCTTTCTAGTGGACTGCGTCATGTGAGAATGAAGTGGCTGGTTTTAAAAGGTAGACTAAACTCTTATGCACAACTCGGGGATTATTGTGTTTGGCTAATGAAGTGTATTGTGTAACCGAGAGGAATTGTCAATGAGGAGAAGTGTCAATATTTACCAAAGACTGAGAAGCACGTATATGCACAAAGAAATCAAATCCATATTTTCAAGTTATCTGATACTAACATTTTCAGGAAATACAATGTGAGGGCTGACTTGTGAAGACTTTTAGCACGTGGGTTAGCGGACTTTAGGTTATTTTGTTAACCACAGTGTACAATATAATATAATACATAATATAAATTCCCAGTCACAATATACGTCATTCAAATGCAGCAAATTCGTCATCGATGTTATGAAAAAATATCATGGTCTGAGAATGACGGAATTAAAAGCCTCATTTAATATATCATGTATATAAGGCAACATTATGCTTTGAGAGCTGTTATTTCCGCTATATAAAATATTCTCAATTATTGTAATGTATTCAAAATAACATTCAATATCAAAAAGTTATTCACATTTCTCAGATGTTTTAAGCAGTACAAAGAATAACGTGAATGTTGTGTAAACGAAATTGTGCATGCTAAATGCAGACTCTGTTAACAAGATACTGAATGATCTACAAAATTCATAGATTCGCACATTATAGCACAGCCGAGTTGTAGAGATGTCGCCTTCTGCAAAAGCGACATATGTAATCGACAACAAGATGATGTGCACATGAATGCGTTGAAAGGATTTTCAATGGTGAAACTCAACTCTCGTCTTTGTCAGTCAAAATCTCGAAACACTTTGGCAGAATGATTTCACTGGAAATCATTCATGTCATAGGGCATGCTTCAGCAAGTTCATGCGTGTGTCTATCTGACTGTTTGTCTCTTAATCCTTCTATGTGTTTTTGTGTGTGTGTTTATTTATGTCAGTGGTATGATGATGAATTTGTCGAATTAATGAATGGATGAGCAGAGTGGTAATCGGATGATTGCACACATATGTGAATAAGTCAATATTTACATGTGTTCGTAGTGAAGTGATTGTTGAGTGCATGCTTTCCATCATCATGAAACTGCTCATATATTAATCTGTGAGAGAGTGATATACAGAGAGAGCCAGCGAGATACAGAGCGAAACAGCGAGAATGGGAGACCTGAGAATGTTTCGAATGGATGAGGGAAATTTACTTGTTCCTTGATTATCCCGGTGATGATGAAATGGTGTGCTTGTTTTTCGAGTAAATGTGTCACTGATTTTGTATGAATTTTATATACGTAAGCCTTCAAATGCTGATGGATATTTATAGGACACGGTGTACATTAGTCAGTAGTCAGTGAGTCAAGCAGTCTGGCAGTCAGACAGTCACCTCATAGAGTGAGAACTTTTGAGCAAGAAAGTGGATAACAAGATTGGTCGAGTGATGAATGCCAGTGCTGACTAAATGAAGCATTGATTTCGGCCAGTCAAGTCTGTATCATCTCTCACCATTCCATGATAGGAGAATTTTGTGCGTGATGAAATAAAACACAGTTACAATATTACTTAATTAATTACTGTGTGCTTGTATCATCATATGAATTTCTTCTTTGCATGATGGAATCTAATGGTACTGTACCACACTGTGTGCATAGGCTCTACTCTCCTCAAATGTACTATGACTGTCCAATAGTTATTGTGATTTAGGACTTCACTGGAGTATGATGCTTAACTGTCACCTTATGTTGCCAAGGTGGTAGTTGTAATCGATCAGACGGGAAAGCTAAGCTAACGGGAGAACCGATGACTTCGTAGTTGACGAATAGACAAAGCATGATGAAATTAATAAATGATATGTTGCTGATACACTACTCGATCGATGAATGCCTACGTATCGCAGTCTCAGTGAGAATGCAAGTTCGTCAGTTTTCTGATGAATGAATGGATGGATGGATGAATATTCATTCAGAATAGATGATGAGAGATGAGGTGAGGTGATTTTCAGCTCATTAGTGTCTGTCCGGTGAAGGCATTGAGTCAACTGACACAAGCTACACAACATTGTGAAGACACCAAGAAAAGTGGATAGAGATGGTGATTGGAGAAATCTACTATTCACCGTTAGTTGAGATTCAGATATCACAAAATTGTAGGACCACCGTTCTACCATAAGAAAAGACAGTCAAAGGAGTCTGTCTCTCCAGCAACGAATAATGACGACTACTTCACATTTGATGTGGAAGTAATCTGGTGAGATAAACGGAGAAAGCGGAGGGGAGTGAGAGAGAGAGGGGACAGAAAGGAGATAGAGGAAAAGAAACAAATTGTGTTTGTTTAGGAGAGACAGCATGATGAATGGACAGATCGAAATGTGATGAGCGTGGGTGAGTGTGTGATTCACTCTGTGCTTGCGTGTGTATAAGGTGTAGGGTAAATGTTCCTCACTGCTTAATTTGACGGCCAACGCACTACTTTACCTCAATAAGCCGGTAATAAGACTGGTAAAAAGGGAAGGTTAGGTAAGAGGTTAGCAACCTTACTTGTAAAAATAAAAA